GCGAAGAGGGTTAAAAATGTTGGCTCTGCGTATTTTTGACTTCACTCAACTGGATCTGCTCAGCCTCAAGTTGTGCTACGCGGATTCTACGAATGCCTGCTCGCTTTTTCGACGCGAAAAGCTGGCTGGGTGTGGCTGGAGCGAAAAATCAGCCAATCGCGAATCAGAAAGAAATGCGTCGACAAATGTCTCCAATGGAAGCGTCGAAGCGACGATTACTTCATTAGCCGCTCCCACCATTCAGCATTTTCAGAAAACCAACAGAAAAGCGACTTGCTGGCATTTTTTGACCTGCTAGCCTATTCAGTACTATAAGAGGTCCCAGATGGAGTCAAAAATCGAGCTAGCACACTTTTCACAAAGAGTTGAAACTTTCAAAACTGCATTCTTGCCTATAGGCTATCTCACTGCATATGTCCTGCGGCTCTAGTCGTCGCGTCCGCTCGCTCAGGCCTTGCACCGCTTTCGCAGACACATCCTCTGGGTATTTTACCATGCCTAAGCAATGGTTAAAAGGTTGCAGTGCGCGAAACTACCCAGAGAATACATGCGCAAATGCCACGCAAGGCGCGAGCGACACGGTCGCGAAGACTTAAACACTGTAGCTATGACACTCTTATTGAGACAGCGTGTAGCTCCACATTCGAGCGCCGCAACACTTTCCATATTTCAGGACACGTTAGAGAAATGCACGAAATGTTCGCAACCGATTTCGGATCGACTATTACGTGCTTGTGGTGGAACGTTCCATGTGAATTGCTTCACCTGCTCGAATTGCGCTAAAGTGCTCGATGGTGTTCCGTTCACGACTGATGCACAGAACAGCGTGTATTGTGTTCCATGCTTCCACGAGTAAGTTTATTTTCAGATAATTTCGTCCCATAGGCACGCGCATACTTGATCTGCTTGATCTACTTCATCTACTGCGCAATCGGTTGATGAACTGACCAATCGCGAAGCGTTGTCCACAGGATCCACTCGATCCACTTCGCTATTGGTCAGCTGATTGATATGACCAGTAGCGAAGGAGACGGGGTGGATCAAGTATGGTATGTGCTATGGAACATCTTTTTTCCCATTCCAGGCTGAGTAGGAAAAATCTGAAGGGAAACTCATGAATTTCAGGAAATTCGCTCCTCGTTGTGCCGTCTGCGGGAAAGGTATCATACCACAAGAGGGCGAAAAAGAATCCGTTCGAGTTATCGCTATGGACAAATCCTTCCATCCCGCCTGCTACAAATGTGAAGACTGTGGGCTCCTGCTCTCTAGCAAGGTAAA